ACTGGATCCCGTGCCGTCGGGACCCGTGGAAGGCCCTGAAGAGCATCTGGCAATGGGTTCCGAAGAACCACCAAGCTTTATTTCCAAGCGAACTCTCTAGCGGAGGAGGGAAGACATCGGGATCCGCCTCAGGGGGCGGTGGGCTACCTACCGACAGAACTAGATAAAGTTCAGCGTGGTCTATACATTTAGCTAAAAGATTCGGGTCTAGTAGCTCATTCCTGCGGGCCTCGGCCTCCACCAGCTGGCAGTAGTACAAGCTGTGCACTATCGTGTAACCTTCTCGTCCACCCAATACGCGGGAGTCCTCAATGGCATATCCTGCAGAGGTCGCCCTACCGGTGGTCCAGTAAGCCTGACCCAAGACATCCCTCGGGAGGGCCTCCTGACCCTCATAAGGTTTTTCTGTTCCAGAGGTGCTCCAAATCCTCCTGGCAACGTCGAGACACTCCCTGGGATCATCCTGAATGTGTCTGAGACACTTGGCAGCGTTAATTTCCCAAATCCTGGTACACGCGTCCTGAAGCCTGTACTCCAGCAGCTTGGGCGAAATATAAAAGAGCGAGAACAGCTTGCACCCGTGCGTTTTCAGCACGAACGGTCCTTGAAATGCCCATCCGATCCAGTCGAGGGCATGAGCCGCCGCTGCCACAGGTCCTCGAACTTGATGGTACTTGAGTCCAGAGCAATAGTCAATGCGCTCCCAGAATGATTTTAACGATCTGATCCCCAGGGGTCCCATAGGTCCCGCTATGCCAAATCCTGCAGCCAAAACTTCGTGAGCCCAACGCACCACATGTGCCAGGGCCCACTTGTCTGCTTTGGACTCATAAAGTGCGAACGTGATTGATCTGCTTTTGCCTTTACACCTTGGCCCTGTGGCCGATTGTTCAGCTCTGAGTTGCTCCAACGGCCCATCGTCTGCGGACGCTCTGGGCCCCACCGGAAGCAGCAGCTCGCGACGGGGAATTCCCCCCCGCAGACGCTCGGAGTGACGCCAGGAAGCACCACGAGCCCTGACATTGCCAATTTTGGACGGCCGAAGTGGGCACGGACAAAAATGGACACAATGCCCAACCACAAGTGCTGCCCCAAAGCAACAGCGGCCGCTGTTGGGCAGGCGGCCTTCTGTCTCGAGTGGACACAGGCCGCGGCGGCGTGGCCAGCGAATCCTGCTCAAAAGGAACAGGAACTGCTGTTGGGCATTGTGCCCATTCTTTCCGTGCCCGTTTCGGGCGTCCAGACCAAGGTGTTTCTGTTCCATCCGCGGCCCCTCCGGCTCCGACCGCTTCCCCAACCAATGCCTCGTACGCCTCGTTTATATATATATATATGTGTACACAGACATATGTCTGCCTATAGTCCGCGGCGAGCGAGGGGGGAGTGAGAAGGAGAAGGCCTTCTCAGAAGGCGGCGGGACCTTTCAGAAGCCCTCGCGCCTTCTGACAAAGTATTTCTGTCTTCGGGGAAGGCTTAAAACACTTCTCAAAGGCCGGGGGACTTCCAAACCTTCTGAGAAGGCCTTTTCCTTCTCACTCCCCCCCTCGCTCGCCGCCAACTACACCTCAGCGCGCATTTTTCTTGACACGTGCGAAGTTCGCCACCTCTGCAAACGCGGGCGGGCCTCGGTGAGGGAGTCGGCGGAGGTGTCGTAAGCCCCTTGTATACATACACATATATATATATATATACATATATATATGTGTATTTATATATGCACAAGATTGCATTGGCGTTTCGCGCCATGCACCTTGTTCCTGGAGGCTTTGCTTATGTTGGTAGTTCACGCCATCCCCAGTGGCCTTGGATATTTGGCCCCTTCCCTGCGGTGGCTGTCGGAAATCTTTGAAAATTCGGGCGGTCCGCGGTCCTTCTCGGGCCACCAGAGGCTCCCGGAAAGCGCTGGGAGGAGGTCGAAGGATAGGAGGGGGGGAACCTCGGGGAGCGAGGAGAGGGAAGCGGCTGTGGGGAGGACGAGCGGTGGAGCGGCAGAAAGAGGAAGAGGAAGAGGAGGAGGAGGATGAGGAGAAGGACCCAGAGGAGAAGCATAAGGAGGGAAATAAATGGTCCCGTTGGGGGACGGCGAAGAATTTCGGTTGTGCCATACCGAGGACCGCTATCCAAAAACCACACGGTTGCATGTGTACGTATACGCTTGCAGACATGTCTGGCAATGAATGACGACGAAATGCGTTCGTAGGCCCGCACACTGGCCCGCTCGTAGCTCAGGTGCCCTAGTACGCAATGCGAAGAAATGGCAAGCCACGCGAGTGCATGCCAAGCAAACCAAGGCAATGCCAAGCAATGCCGCAAAATACAACGCAATGCCAAACCGAGGATGCTATGTTGCAGCGGGTCGTAACGGGACACGCGAAAGTAAGAAAATTCTCGGGGAATGCATCAGATCCCAGGTTCGCAACCGATTCCCCCCAAATGTGTTAGCGAACCCGGGATTCGGGTCAATTTGGTGCGAAACGCCGTGTAGGCCTTGTTCGAGCCCTGGTGGGCCGGCTTGGGGCCCTCTCGAGCCGTCCTGGGGCCATCTTGGGCCGTGTTGAGGGAGCTTGGGCCCTCTAGGGACCTTACGGGGGCTACGTGGGCCCTCATGGTGACCTCCCATGGCATTTTTGGTGGCCTCCCATGGCCTTCTTGGGCTTCTCTCGGGGGCCTTGTGAGGGCTTCTGTTAAACCCATTTGGGGCTTCCTTGGGAAGTCTTGGGGCCATCCAGGCCGTCTACAGGCTCTCGTGGGGGTCTCTTGGACCGTCTTGGGGCGATAACGGAGGCCTTTTTGCCTAAGGAAATAAACAAATTTCTGCATTCTGAGAATCCTGTTCAGGGCCTCCTGGGCCGTCTTGGGGGCCTCTGGAGGCCATCTGGGTCCTTCTTGGAGCGCTCTCGTGCTGTCTCGGGTCTCTCTTCGGCCTCTCTGATCGCCGCTCTGATCGTCTGGGGTCTGCTGGCAAGTCCCAGCCAAGCGCCCTGGGAGGTCCGGGACGAGGCGGGGAGACCTTTGGCAACGGTGTCAAGGGAGCCCTGAAACCCTGGATCCTGGGGGTCTGGTTTTGGGGGTGGGTAGGTTGGGTGTATTTCCCACCCACCCACCCTGGCTTGTAAACATTTCGGAAGATAATACACCGATGTATACATGTATATACACATATCTATGTATATGCATGTCTATATATAGTTGTTATTATATACATACATACAACCATATATGCATATATACATACATACAGACATACATACACACATATATACATGCATACACACACATGCATATAAACATACATACACACATACATACATACATGTATTCATACCTACATACATACATACATACATACATACATACATACATACATACATACACACATACACACATACATATATACATACACACATACACACATACCTACATACATACATACCTACATACATACATAAATACGTATATATATATATATATATGTATACACATACAATACATACATACATGACTTCATTAAATTACATCACATCACATCACATTACATTACATTACGATACCTTAAATTACATTACATTGACGTGCATTACATTACGTTACATCCACTTACATTGCATTACATTACATTACATTACTTTACGTTACAATACATCACGTTACATTACATTTACATAAGCTCATACACACAAACATACATACATACACACATACATACATGCATGCATGCATGCATGCATACATACATACACACATACACACACGCCTACATATACACACATACAATACTGTACTGGCGCGTCGCGCCATGCGCCTTTTTCCGGACGCTTCCACGGTAAAGCAATACATCATCGCTTGCTTCAGCACCGCTCCTCATGGGAGGAGGTAAGGAAAATACTTTCGTCTGGCTTTTCATCTGCCACCTCCAAGGTTTGTTCCTACGCATCCCTTCCATCCCTTCCTCCTCCTTTCCTCCTCTTCCGCCTCCTCTGGTAGTTGAGTCATCCTTTCAGGAAGTAAGGAGCGTTCCCATGACACGCTGAAGAGGTCGCAGCAGCTCCGAACAATCGACTTTTAGTCGCCTCCTGAATGCCTGGAGGGCTCCAAGCACTCAGGTCATGTTCGAATCTAGATCCATTGCCTGACTCTCTCGATCGAGGAATTTGGACTTAGAGTCTCGAGCGTGGAACCAAGATCGTCGGGTCAGCTCGATGTACTTCGTAGGAGAACGCCGTCCGGATGTTGTTGGTGCTCTTTTGGGCCGTCCTGGAGCCCTCTTGGGCCGTCATGGGGCCTTCTTGGGCCGTCTTGGGAAGCTGGGGCCCTCCACAGGTCTTCTTAAGCCATCTAGGGCCCTCTTTGGGTCCTCCAAGAGCCTTTATGGAGTCTCCGATGGCTTTCGTGGGTCTCTCTTGGGAGCCTTCTGGGGGCATTTTGGGCTTCTTGTGGGCAGTCTCGGGGCTCTCTGGGGCAGTCTTGGGGCCCTCTTGGGCCGTCTTCAAACCCTCTGGGGGGCCTCTTGGGCCGTCTTGGGACGATGCCGGGGGCCCATCGGGCCGTCTTGAACGCTGCGAAGACCCAAAAAGCGGATATGTTAAAAATGCAAATGTTTTTTTACGGGAATGGGTTCATTGTTGCTTCCTTGGGGCGTCTTAGGGGCCTCTTGGGCAGTCGTCAGACCATCGAGGTTCCTCTTGGAACTCTTGTGCTGTCTTGAGTCTCTCTTGCGCCTCTGCGATGACCCCTCAAGGCCCGGCAAGGCGTCCTGGGATGCCCGGAAGGACCAGCGGACCTTTTCCAAGGGCGTCCAGGGGGCCGCCGAGACGTCCGAAAGGGCGCCCAGGGCGTCCCTGGGGGGGAGAGGTCCGGTTTAGGGGTGGGGGGGGTGGGGTGTGGGGGGGTTCTGGGCACTTAAAATATAAGAATCGGAATGCACATATGTAGATATAAGCATATGTGTATATATATATATATGCATGCAGATATGTCTCGTCAGAGACCTGGGAACGCAGCGCCTGCAGCGTGTCGATGATCAGGGAATGCCCAGCGATCAGGAAGAAGTCCACGGGGTACAGCGAGGCGAACCGCTGCAGCAGCAACGGCACCTCGCAGCTCGCGCTCCTCCTCCTCCTCCTCCTCCTCCTCCTCCTCCTCCTTATCAACAACGTCGCCCTCGCCGCCGCCTCATCCTCCGCCCTCCCTTCTCCCTCGCCTCTCTGGATACTTACGCACCCCTCCTCCTCCTCCTCCTCCTCCTCCTCCTCCTCCTCCTCCTCCTCCTCCTCCTCCTCCTCCTCCTCCTCCCTGTCGTGGGCAACACCACATCCGCATCCGTCGCCTCGCGGGCCCGGTCCCTGGACCGCGACCCCGCGGATGCGAAGCACGAGAACCACGCGCGCGCTTCGCGCGAGCTCAGGTTCCAGCGAGCCCTAGTTGTAGTCTACAGTCGGGGCGTTGACCTAAGGAACCCCAAATAAGGAACGAGGCCCCTTTTTCCCATAAGTTCAACGGTCGCCGATCCTCTCCCTCATCTTTGTCCTCCCCCCCCCCCCTCCCTACCCTCCTCCTCCTGCTCCTCCCGCTCCCTCCGTCCTCGGTCTCCGGCTCGTCGCCCCTCTCCCTCCCTCCGCTCTTCCTCCATCCTCGCCCATCCCAATTCTCCTACCTCTCCTCCTCGTCCTCTTCCTTCTACTGCTCCTTCCCTCCATGGTCCTCCCCTCCCCTGGGAGGCCCCGTCATGTACCAGCACCGCTGCTCCCCAGACCTCTCCAGGGTGCGCGCCGACTACAAACTCCCATGCGAATCCAGCCGTGGCGACGAGAGCTTCAGCACAAGCAGCGGCACCGGCACCCTTTCCTCCTTTGACACAGGCATCCGATGTCTTGATTGGCTCCATGTGTGTCCCCGGAAGTCCCTCCCGGCCCTTTCCCCGGGGGGCGGTTACTCGTCCTGGATCCCTGGGCCGTCTCTGGCCGTCCCCGGGGCCCGGCGAAAGCGCACAGATGCCGAAAACGACGAGCGACTTCCTTCTCGCTCTTGCTGCGGCACGTCTTGCCCTGACGCCCTCTGCTCCCCCACCCCTCCCTTCGTGCACAAGTGGAGAGCCCGGCACCACGCGCTCGATGCACTGCGGCGGCGCGTTCGTGAGGAGCACGTCGAAGTACACCCTCAGGAAGCGGGGCACCAGCTTGCACACCTCTGGCGCTGCGGGCGGAGGCTGCGGCCTCACCTCGCGACCTCCTCGCCCTCCAGGGGGCCACGGGAGGGAGACCCCTCGGGTCGGACGAGGGGGTCGCACGAGCGTGGGGGTGTTCGTCAAGGGGGACCAGCGAAATCAACTTTGGGCGTCGCTTCATGGGGGGGGCGATGGAGAAGAGGGGGGAGCAAGGTGCATCCTTCGGGCCCTGAAGGCCGCCTGTTGGGACCGAAAGGACCCCTCCTCCGGGGCCTTACATCGGGGATGGACAGACCCCCCTTTAGTAAAACGTGGTTTAGTGAAAACGACCTGAGGGCCCAAACCTGGCGGGCGCAAGCCTGGGAAATAACGGCCACGGCGCCCTCTCGAGAACCGAAAACGGACAATTCACTAATCGACGTGTCACATTTGGGGGTTCTTTCCAACCCCGATTAGAGGGCCCGTCTTCTGCAGCCCTCGCTGCCCCCCGATGCATCGCTCCCCCCCCCCCATTACGCGACGCCCAAACGTAACTGGCTCTCGCGGCACCATGAGGCGCCAGTGCATGTAAAAGAACTTGCCGTCGCTCGGACGTCCATTTCCCGTGCATTTGTCGGTTTCGTGCGTGTTTTTTTTTTTGTTGCTCGATGGTCCAGGATGGCCCTCGATGGTTCTCGCCGTGAAAAGATGCACACGTCCGAGCGATGCCAGGGGAAAGGCCCCCAGCGGTCTCCGGCTCCTCGGCCTCCGGGTCGCGGGGACCTCTCGGCTCGGGCTCGGGCCACCACGGACTACTGCTCCGTGGATCCGGCGCGTGGGCGCAACATCCACCGATTGGGGGAGACAACCCAAGGAGCATGAGGCCAGTGCCGCCCGATCCGGCAACGGATCGCGCGCCGATTCTGCACAGAACCAACACCGCTCATCCACTCGCCATGCTCCATGACCGTTGTCCTCGGTTTTTTTTTTCTGGACTTCAGGATCAGTGAAGGAACAACAAACAACATGAGCAAGAACTTTCGGACGTCCACGTAGATTTCTTCGACCAACGATGGGCAACCCATGGCGGCGCCTCCGGTGCCGCCCCTGGCGCCCTCCGCGCGGTGTGAGCTGTGCGATGTAAGTTGTTTGGTGTAAGCTAAGTGGCGAACGCTTCGCGGCGTGAGCTACACTTGGTGCGCTGTGCAGCGCAAGCTGTAAGGTGGAGGCTAGGTGGTGCAGGCCATGTGGTGCAGTGTATGAGGTGTACATGATTAACCCAACAACTCTAATCATTTGGGAGGGAACGTAAATTAGGAGGGCCAAAAACCATCGGGATAGGGGGGGCCCAAGAGAGCACAAGCCACTCCAGAGAGTGTCTTGCCTCTGCGCGGCCCCCCGCCCCCCACACGAGCTCCAAGGGGAAACCTTCGAGGTCGACGACTGCAACGCGCGGGATTCGGCAGCCCAGCCCACGCTGGAGACCCGCGGGGTGACCGGCAGGGAGTTCCACCTCTCGGGCGCGGGCTCGGCTCCTGTCCTGCCCTCCTCCTTCCTGCACCTCCTTCCCCAGCAAAACAGCCAATCGCCAGCAAAACAGCCAATCGCCGGCAGAGACGAGAAGCAAAACACAGCCAGTCGCCAGCAAGACAGCGTCTGGGCCCGGCCCTGCTCCTCCTTCGCAGGCAGGGGCGGAGGCGGAGGCGGAGGCGGAGGCGGAGGCGGAGGCGGAGGCGAAGGCGGAGGCGGAGGCGGAGGCGGAGGAGGAGGAGGAGGAGGAGGAGGAGGAGGAGGAGGGGGAGGAGGAGGAGCTGCATCCAGCGCCCGAGTGGCAGGGTCCGCCCCGCGTCGGCACACCCCTCGCTCCTTCCCCCCCGCTTTTGCTCGCCTGCCTCGCGGTGCCCGCAGCTCCACGCGGCTGGGCCCTTCGCCCGGATATTTTCCACGGCGTGGGCCCCCAGAGGTCTGCAGCCAGCACGTCCCGACTTTTCCGAGACACGGGCCCCCCGACCTCCTGACCAGTTCCCCAGGACCGGCTTTTCGTCCCGAGTCGTTTCTTGACGGTCCCGAGGCCGGGCGAGGACCCCGAGAGGCCGAAAGCGATGAGAGACCTCCGTGACGATTTTTGTCGAGACGCCCGGTGTCTGGGCCCCCAGAGGTCTGGACCTCTTCCTGGGGACCAGCTTCTCCTCCTCAATCGTTTTTGACGGCCCCGGGGCCAGGCAAGAGCCACAGGAAGCCGAGAGGATGGCCGAAAACCCCCTTACCGCGGGTTCGTGTCGTGCCGCCCCTGGCCCTAACTCCTGACACCGCGGGAACGTCTCAGATCACATGACAAATCACGACGGGAAGTTTCTGGCTACTTTCGGCCTTTGGGGACCCTCACAAGGCCCTCGGGACCGTCAAACAATGACTCCGGATGAGAAGCCGGTCCCGAGGAATGGGTCGAGACCTTTGGGGGTCGACGACATGAAAAATTCATCACGTCGGGGGTCTGGGATTGAGCATCGACCGATCTTGCGTCGCCAACGGCGTTCAGCGTTGAACGCTGGCGGCGGGGCCGCAGCCAGTCGACACGACGAGAATATTCAGTAGTTTTTAGTTTCTTCGTTGTTTCACGACGCGAGGGTGTCAGGGCGCGCAAACTGAGAGGGCATAATATTCACCCCCATCAAAATCACTCCGACACGCGAAGTTGTTTAGTAAGCGCACTCACAGAAGTAATGGAACAGGGCAGAGCTGTCTAGTAAACACCCAGGGCCATATGGTAAACGCCAAGTGTCGGGTCCAGGTGCTTCTGTTCCTCCCTTGACAAGCGGCCCACAGGGTGCGGATCATGGACAGCTGGGCCTCGTCGCGCGTCTCCCACACGCAGACCTGCAGGGGCGGCGGGAGGATGGGGGAGAAATGGGAGAGGAGGAAGAGGAGGAAGAGGTGGAGGAGGAGGGGCAGGAGTAGGAGGAGGAAGAGGAGAAGGAGGAGGAGGAGGAGGAGGAGGAGGAGGGGGAGGAGGAATAGCATGAGAAGGAAAAGGGGAAGGGGGATGAGGAGGAGCAGGATGGGGATGATGTTGACGAGGAGGAGCAGACGGAGGAGGACGAGCGAGCGAGAGACGCGTCTAAGTTGCCCAGACACGCCCTGCATGAAGAAGAAAGGCCCCGCCGCCGTACACCAACCGAGCTTCCGTGAGAGGCTCACACGTGGTGCCGACGGACGGGGAAGGGCCTGCCTGGGAACACCCAGTGCGCGCCTGGGGCATGCAAGCAGCGGCCCAACCATCGGCGGCAGTGGGGCCCAGACAGGCCAGGCCCTCAGCGCTTGCCGTGCGCCTCCAGGAAGGCGCGCATCTGGACGGTGGACACGCCCTCGACGAACGCGACGGAGGTGCCCGCGTGGGCTGACCTGATCTCCGCCACGACTGGCAGCGCGACGATCTGCGCGATCAACTCCGCGCGCACGGCCGTGTCCGAGCCAGGCCCCTCAGCCGCCGCCCCAAGGCCAGCCTCCGCCTCCGCCGAGGGCCGCGCCACAGGAGCCGCCACCGCCTCCGCGGGCGCCGCCAGCGCCAGGGGGGCAGCCGCCACCGCAGCGGCCCGAGGCTCACCAGCGAGAGGAACATCACGACCAGCAGCGTCGCGCCGCAGGTCATCAACCCACTCATCGTTGATGACGTCCTCGTCCATGGCGTCCGCCGCAGCAGCCGCCGTACGCTTCGCCTCCGCCAGACGCTGGCGGCGGCGGCGTCTCCGAAGGACCTTGCCCATGTTCTTGTCCTTGCCCTTGTCCTCGGAGTCGTCCCTGACCTGGACCTCGGCGCAGGCGCCCTCGGCGCGTCCGGAGCCCGCAGGCGGCGGCGACGGCGCAGCGCGTGCCGAGAGCACAGCCGCGGCTGTCGCACGAGCCACAGCGGCCACCGTGCGCCTGGCGCCCTTCGCCAGGATTGCCGCGCGAACGGCCGCCTCCACGAGGTCGGCGCCGCTCGGCGCAGCAGGAAGAGCCCCTCTAGGCTTCGCCATCGCGCGCAGGAGGGCACGGGGCGGCACCTTGCGGTCGCTTGAGCCAAAATGAGCAGACGGAGGAGGAGGAGGAGGAGGAGGAGGAGGAGGAGGAGGAGGAGGGAGAGGAGGAATAATCGCGAGGAGGAGGGGACGGAGGAGGAGGAGGAGGGGGAGGAGGAGAAGGAAGAGGAGGAGAAGGAGGAGGAGGAGGTGGATGAGGATGGGGACGAGGATGCGAATGGTGATGATGATGATGATGATGATGATGATGATGATGATGATGATGATGATGATGATGATGATGATGATGATGATGATGATGATGATGATGTCGATGACGATGATGATGATGACGAGGATGATGATGATGATTGAGATTGATGATGATGATGATGATGATGATGATGATGATGATGATGATGATGATGATGATGATGATGATGATGATGATGATGATGAGGATGATTGTAATGATGATGGTGATGCTGATGAGGAGGACCTGCAAGTCTGAGTGGGTGCCTGTCTTGCGTGCTGTGCTCATGCCCAAGCGCCTGTTGCGCTTCCCTGATCAAGGAATCGAGGGTCATGGGGACCGCACAACAAGGCCTGCTCCTCTTCATACCCCCCTTCGGATGGCGGCAGGACTTAAACGCAAAGCGTGTGTCTTATTATTGCTGGGGGGGGCGTCCAAGGCAAATGCTCGTAAAGGCCTTGAGGTAGAATTCACTGTAAGCGCCGCGAGTCTAGCATGCCATCACACAACTACCATTATCGAGGCGATCGAACACGTAAATGTCGCGCCCGCTTCGCTACTCGGAAAGGGCAGCTAGACTGGCGCAGTGCCCAGGGCATCTCTGGGCGTCTCGTTTCGCACGTGCGGCCTCTGATCGAACTCGGGTTCTGCAGAGCTCGCACATCCAGAGGCTGTCATCTAGCTGCACCCTGGCGCCGCTTTCTTTCTGGTCATCCGCAACGGGGTCGCTAGCCTCGGGCCTAGGGACCGCAAGGGGGGCCAGGGGGAGGATGCAGGAGACGGCCAAGGAAGGCGGCGCCCACTAGAGGCTCCTCCGCAGGCTTGAAACTTGGCCCTTCGCAGGCCTTGCTGCCAGGTTTCGGGGCGATCGCAGGCCACGTGGGTAGGCCTTTTTTGTGAGGAAACGCAGACATCGGGTTTAACAACCGCGGCTCTGGTAATGAGCTTGAACCTCCGCGGCCGAGGAGCCTCCAGCTTTTCTGGCGACAGCTTTGGCTAAACGGTCGGCGGTGTCATGTCCCATGGCCAGGAACTTTTCCCTGGATGCTGGGGAAGGTTCTCGATGTATCTTCGCGGGCCTTAACTTTACAGATCCAAGGAAGGGCCCCCTTGCTATGTTTACTCTTGGCTAGCAGCTCCAGGCGTATCGGCTCCATCTATCAAAATCCGCTCGGCCATACTTGTTCGTGGATCCTAGGTGGCCAGGGTAGTGGGAGGTGAGGAGGGGGCACGCGTGACCGATGGCCATCGCAGCGCGCTCGCCGGCTGGCAAGTTGGCGGAAGCAGCTCTCCCGTCTGTCCCGGGAGATGTGCCAAGCACCCGCCATTCTCGCCTATCTCGGCCACCGCCCATCCCGTCTGGCGCCAATGCGGGGGGCCGAGTTTGAAACAGCTTCTGCCAACGACACCTTCCCCAGCCATAGCCGCAGCCATGGAGTTCCCGCTTCGGGACCAAAGCTCCCAGGACATGCCAAAACCTTCGGCCCTCGGGATGCAGGCTGGGGGCTGAAATTGAAAACCATGGGCGAGGGGAGCTGCTAGGGGGTACCCCTCCGAATTCGATTCATCAGCGGCCGTCAGCATCTCAGATTTCGGGCTGTGGATGAGGGGGCACTGGAACCAGTGCAACGTGTCGTCATTCGCATGCCAGCAGGGGCACGTCGTGTCGATCTCGTATCCTGCGGCAGCTGACTTAGTTTTAATCCACAGGCATTGGGTCTGGTAGGACATCGAGCTTCATTTCTCGCAGGATGAAAGTTCGGGGTCTTCCAACACTTCCCTAGCAGCTGCGACATCCGCCCTCACCTCGGGCATTCCCATCTTGGCGGCGGCGCGCTTCTCGAGGTTCGCCGCCCAGGCCAACTCGAGATGGCACTGGAGGAGCGCAGGCGAAACAACGGCGCGCTGGGGCAGCAGGCCCTCGGAGGCCTCTGTCTCGATAGGGGTTTCCGAGGCCCCAGCTGACCCCCCTGAGGCTGGGCAAGGTGGCCCCTATAGGTCCTCGGCAAATGTCCACTTTCTGGGGGGGGGCTCTGCATGATGTTCCGAACTTCATCTTGGAACTCAACGCGCGTGATCCCGAGGGGGCGGGGCTGGGCAGGGAGTCTCCGCAGGCCCCAGGGCGGCTTCCCAGGTGGGGTCTCCCAAGAGGCGCAAGCCGAGGGTTCTGGATCTGGTCATCATGTTTTGGTAAACTTTTGGCCTTGCTAAACTTCGCTGCGGGTGAGGCCCGGGGACTTCCGCTCCACGATGGTTGGCCTGGCCCGGGCCCGTTCTGTGCAACTTGCGCAGATCGGCGCCTGCACGCTTCAGCGCCATCAGCTTCCGCTCGCGGCTGCAGACGTTGCCTCTGACCCCTGATCCTCCTAATCCTCCTCCTCCTCCTCCTCCTCCTCCTCCTCCTCCTCTCCTCCTCCCCAACTCCTCCTCCCCCTCCTCCCACTCCTTCTGACCCCTCATTATCATCCATCCCCTCCTCCTCCTCCTCCCCCTCCCCCTCCCCCTCCTCCACCTCCCCCTCCTCCTCCTCCTCCTCCTCCGCCTCCTCCTCCTCGACCCCCCCCTGACGTGGAAATCCCCCCCCCCATCTGGGAGGGACCCCGCCGAGGCCCGACTCGTTCCTCATGACGTAGTGCTGCACGGCCTTGAAGGCCGGAGACAGGCGGTCGAGCCCCAGGCGGCTCCACTGCGTCTCCGCGCTCTCCTCGGGGCGCGGCTTGCTTTGGGACGCCCGACGTGGGCACGGCGGGGCCGCGTGGTGCCGACCTCGGCGCTGGCTTCCAACACCGCGGGGACCTTTCCACCCAGAACGATCGGCCGCTTCCGAAACGTAAGACCGTTAGATGGCGACGTTCGAACCCTACCCCCACCAACCATCGATTCTCCACAACCGATGGGAAAGGATGGGCTTGACATGATCGCCTTCGGCTCCGTAGAGATTTCACAAAACCGAGTGTCCAAACCACATGTGCACACACGGTTTCGCAGCATCACATGTCAAAAAAAAAACTGCGCTCGAAGGGTTTGCACAATGTCTTAAATCCGGTGCCACCACTCACGCAACGGGGCAGGGTCAGGGTACAAAAACACATGGGCCTTGCCACATGTTTGAAATGCGCTGGCACCCCTCACGCAGATCGGCGGGGTCAGGGTCCAGAAGCACAAGGGATGTGCCACCTTTCTAAAATTCGTCTGCACCCCTCACGCAGATCCGTAGGGCCAGGGTCCAAAAACACATGGAATTTGCTACATTTGTGGAATTCAGTGGCACCCCTCACGCAGATCGGCGGGGCCAGGGTGCAAAAACACAAAAAGATGTGCCACATGTTTGAAGTTCGGTGGCGCCACTCACGCAGATCGGCAGGGTCAGGGTCCAAAAACACATGGGATTTGCCGCATTTGTGAAATCCGGTGGCGCCCTTCACGCTTATCCAAAAACACGTGGGATTTGCCACATTTCTGAAATTCGGTGGCACCCGTGATGCAGCTACGTAGGGTCAGGGTCGAACAAAAAAACAGGTCCCGACACTGCTTCACGGCGGCGTCCAAACCTCATGATTTAGCTTTCGCATCTTTCATTATCCGAGACAGGGGGCCAGCGGCATGGGGCGAAACCCTTACGGATAAGATGGGTTGGATTGGAAGAGATGGATTGGATAAGAAAAGATGGATTGGATTGGCCCGCAGCAGGCGCAGAAACAAATTCATTGATGGATTTTGTTGAATGGATTGGATTGGGTGGGATAGTATTAGATGGGGCAATATGGGTTGGATAAGATAGGATGGAATGGATTGGACAATATGGATTGGATAATATAAGCTGGATCGGATAAGAAAGCCCGCCGTAGGCGCCGACAAAAATAAATTGATGGATTGGGTTGGATGGATTGGATTAGATAATATGGATTGGATAACATCAGATGGGTTGGATTGGAAGAGATATATTCAGATATATTGGATAAGCTAAGATGGATTGGATTGGACAAGATGGATTGGATATGATAAGCTGGCTTTGACAAGAAAGCCCGCCGCAGGCGCCGAACAAAAAAACTACGAAATGAACGACATGCGTTAGCGCCGGGACGCCCGGGACACCCGGGACACCGCCCGGCCCAACTGGGACACCTCCCGGCCACCGGCGGATTCGCTCCTACTGACACCCGGGACACCCGGGACACCGCCCGGCCCAAGTAGGACACCTCCCAGCCACCGGTGAAAGGGAACGGACTTTCGCTCCTACCTCGGCATAGCAGGAGAATCACGTGCAACTTCGCCTCGCCCGCACGCACGACACGAACACGAAACCGAAACCGATTTCCCGGTGGGGGTCTCCGTGTCACTGCGATCTCACCCCCAACCTCCGATAACCACTATACGCAACGTGAAGGGAGAACCTCATGTAGAACACGAACCACACTACATCCGTGGATTTGTTGGAGGCTGGTGAAACAAGTTGTACGCGCCGCGAAGGCAAGAGCCGCGTTTTGAAAGCAGGCCGCCGTACATGCCTGGAAATGCTGGAAATGTCGGAGCTCTAGGAGCGAAGCTGGCCAGGACGTCTCTCAACGCAACGGCGGGCCCGGTCTACTGACACATCTGGTGCTGCGACGCGGAGGAGCGACTTTGCGGACCCAAGCGACTCTCGTGTGGTTCACGAGCGGTAATCCAAGGAAGGAGGACGGGAAGGACCATGCGCAACAGCAGCGGAGAGATGTCGGAAGAGGTATCTCGCTTGGCGTCTCGTCCGATGTGCGCGCCCCTCGAGGGCAAGCGGAGGCGCATGATAAGCGATGTCTGACCGCGCTGGGCGAGAGAGCGAGGACGAGGAGGAGGAGGAGGAGGAGGAGGACGAGGAGGAGGAGGAGGAGGAGGAGGAGGAGGAGGAGGAGGAGGGGGAGGAGGAGGACGAGGAGGAGGAGGAGGAGGAGGAGGAGGAGGAGGGGGAGGAGGAGGGGGAGGAGGAGGAGGAGGGGAGCGAGGACGGGTCCGCAGACCGCTGAACGGGACGCTCTCGGGATGGGCGTCGTGGGCCACAGAGACCGGGGGCCAGAGAGAGACTTCGATGTAGACGAAGGCAGGAGGAGAATACCCATCGGTCGGAAGAAGTAGGTAGAAACATGAAATAGGAAGGCGTTGGAAATAGATTGGGTTTCCGCCCGCCTCCTGAAGAGGAAGGAAGAGGGAAAACTGTTCGACTCTTGAAGTAGGAAGGCGCTGAAAGTAGATTGGAATCTGGGAATCCTAAAATACCTACTTTCAACGACCGGTGGGTAGATCCGGATGGGGATACGTCGAGAACCTCTGAGGGCCAGCGGGACTGGACGACCTATCCGCGGCCGTGGCCTTCTGGGAGAGCGCTCTGGAGCGCTCTGGGAGCGCTCCGGAACGCTCTGCAGCGATGTATCCTTGTCCTAGCAGCCACGTCCGAAAGACTCCGAGGGCGACTCTCTGGATCTCGCAGTGATGGGCCTGATTTCCACCACCACCACCATACGTTGAAGGGGGAAGAAGGAGGACCACGAGGAGGAGGACGAAGAGGAGGAGGAGGAGGAGCAGGAGGAGGACCCCCTCCCCCTCCAACATATGGTGGTGGTGGTGGTGGAAAACAGGCCCATCACAATCGGAAGCCTCCATTGAGCAGGGACCGACCGTCCCGGCATTCCTATAGTCGTACGACGAAATGTTCTTAGAACCCAGAACTGTTCTGAGAACAAAAACAATGTTCTTACAACATAAACCCGATGTGTTAAAACAAAACAATATCAACCAGAAACGTTCTAAGATCACTTCGTGGGAACCACAACAAGTTCTTAGAACATTGTTTGGTAGGGCTATAGGCGACCCAGGACGCTTCGCCACTGCTCGACTGCTTGACCACAATAAATTGGAGGGGGAGGGAGGAGGACCACGAGGAGGAGGACGAAGAGGACGACGAGGAGAAGGAGGAGGAGGAGGGGGAGGAGGAGGAGGAGGAGGAGGAGGAGGAGGAGGAGGAGGAGCACGGAGGAGGGGGGAGGAGGACGAGGACGAGGAGGAGGAGGAGGAGGAGGATGACACCCTCCCCCTCCAACATATGGTGGTGGTGGTGGTGGAGAACAGGCCCATCAGCAGCAGCCCAATCGGAAGCCTCCATCATCGACCCCTCCATCCGTCGCCGCGCGTCGCCGGCCCGCAGCGAGCGGGGGCCTCTGGGCGGTCGTACTGCTCCATGAAGGCGGCGGTGAGCGGCAGGTCCAGCAGCGTGTGGAACAGCTCCTGTCTCGACGGGCCCCCCGAGGCTGGTGGTGCTCCCCCTCGTCCTACCTCCTCCTCCTCCTCCCTCCTCTCCTCCTCTCCTCCTCCTCCTTCCTCCTCTTCTCCTCCAACTCCTCCTCCTCTCCTCCTCCTCCTCCGCCTCCGCCTCCTCCTCCTCCTCCTCCTCCTCCTCCTCCTCCTCCTCCTCCTCCTCCCATCCTCCTTCTCAAAGTTGTTCGTCCTTTTCAACCTCGCCGTCCCCTTCCTCCTCCTCCTGCGGCTTGCAGGCCGAGGGCTCTGGGCCTCAGGGATAGCGATGCTAAGGATGCCGCCCCTCCCTCGTCGTCGTCCTCCACCTCGTAGACCTCGTCGTCCTCCCTCACCTTTTCCCGCCATGCTCGTCCTCCTCTTCCTGCTTGCGCAGGCCAACGTCGTGTCGTCCTCGCCGCCGCCGTCGTCCTACTCCTTAACGTGCTCCTCGTGGTCGTCCGACCGCTCTAACGCCAGCCACACTTCAACCGAGCGGTTGGCAGAGCTGGTGATCGTCCGACTCCTGCTGCTGCTGCTCCTACTCGCGCTGGCCGAGCCCTCGCGAGTGGCGCTGCCGAGGATGGAACCGACAACTAGACCGAGACCTACCGGACCCGACGGGCTGCAAGCGGCCCAGAAGCTGAAAGGGCGCAGTGGCGCAGCCACTGGCCGAACCGCACCACCAGCCGATTGCAGCCGACTGCGAGGCTGCCAAACCGACCGAACCGCAGACTCTCTTGGACGTCTTCCTCCTGCTCATCCTCTCCCACCTTAGACGAAGAAGAAACAAATACCGTAAACATAAACTTGTGGCGCTCCGCGCTGATGTCTTGGATCTGCGCTGGACCCCCATCCCTGGCGCGCGGAGCGCGCCAGGGGCGGCGCCGGAGGCGCCGTCCAGGGGGGGCCCAGCGCGGATCCAAGAAATCTGCGCCGAGCGCCCAAAGCTTATCTTTATGGCGTTTCCTCCTCTTCGGCTCCTGCCCTCCGTTTTCCAGGGCCCTCTGGCGACAAAGCACCTCCCAGACTTCGCCTCGATGCTCAAGCCTTCGAGCCTCCTCGAGCCTCGAGCCTCGATGCTCCGTTTTCCCAGGGCTCCCTCGAGCCTCGATGCTCAAGCCCTCGATCCTCCTTCCAGCCTGCGCCGCCCGTGGCCTCATATGGCGGGCCGGGCGGCTCTCTGCGCCGGCGTGCCCGCAGCCAGGCCGCCCTTCCTCGCAGTGCCGGGCCGGCCTCCTGCTGAAGCTGGCGCAAGCAGGGCCTGGCTTGGTCAGAAGCGGGTGGCGCCACGACGCACATGCCACTTCCGCCGCCTTTCGCGTCCTCGATCCTCCTCCTCCTCCTTCCTCCCCCTCCTCCTCCTCCCTCCTCCCTCCTCCCTCCTCCCTCCTCCTCCTCTCCTCCCTCCTCCTCCTCCTCCTCCTCCTCCTCTCCTCCTCCTCCTCCTCCTCCTCCTCCTCCTCCTCCTCTCCTCCTCCTCCTCCTCCTCCTCCTCCTCCTCCTCCTCCTCCTCCTCGTCCTCCTCCCTCGCCTCCTCTTCCTCCCTCAAGAATCCCGCCCCCCCTCGGCTCTCCTCCTGGCAATACTTCGAGGACGTGGCCACGAGGGCGCCCCAGCAGGCGAGAAAAAAAGGCAAACGACAAGCAGCCAAAACCTGGATCCAAGACCCCGCCCGCGGAGGTCTTGCCACCCATGGCGCGCACGCGGCCACGGCGGGGCGAAGGGACGTGTCGAAACGAGACAAAGGGTGCCATGACATCTGGGGAGATACCATGGCCCAGACCATCATGCCCACCCCTAATCATCAACCCCCTCCTGGACGTTCCCGACCATGCCCGTACCCACCTTGGCGTCCGGCCTGCCGGCTCTCTCGTGCCGGGGGAGATGCGGCGGCTCACCAGTGGGGCAGCTCGGGGCCCTGGATCTCCGCAGCACTCGGGCGGGGTGCGCTGCGATCGCCACAGCACGCGCGCGAGCATGAGCACGTTGGGGGCCGTCCGAGGCCCTCCCACGCTGCGCGCGCGACTGCGGCCAGCACCCCAGGGACCCCAGGGGGGCGGGGGGGGGGACGGGCAGCGACCGTTGCGCGCCAGAGGATAACAAAAAAAAAACCTCGGGGCCAGAGCCTCGGGGTCGGCCAAGAGGGGGGCGTCCAAAGGGGAGGGGGCGCGCACATCGTGACCAGCGGCACGCGCGCGGCCCAGAGGGGGGCCAGGGACGCACTGAAGTAAGACGAGGCGCCATGAAATCTGCGGGGATACCATGGCCCACGCCATGAGATCCCCCCCCCTTAATCATCACCCCCCAAGAGGAGACGGGCCCCCCGGAGGCCGACACCGAGGCACCGCCGGGGTGTGCCAGCGCGGATGCAAGGCATCCGCGGAGAGCGCCGGAAGCGTCTGCTCGTGCCGGTTTCTCTTCGAGAGCCCCTCACGCCGCGCCCCTCCTTGGCGGCAGCTCGGCTCGCGGCGGGTCGCGCCAGCTGCTCTGGCTTCGGGAGGAGGAGGAGGAGGAGGAGGAGGAGGAGGAGGAGGAGGAGGAGGAGGAGGGAGGAGGGAAGAGGGAGGAGGGAGGAGGGAGGGGGGAGGAAGGAGGAGGGAGGAGGGAGGAAGGAAGAGGGATGTGGGACGAGACGAGACGAGACGAGACCACTGACGAAGTCATGAAATAATTTCGGAGGCCCGAACAACTCAGAGGAAGAAGTACCCCACGAGGCCGATGCACTCCATGCCACGCCTCCATACACGTAGTCGAAGGAACCCGTCCCCGACAGCGGACTGGAAGGATACTAAGAAGCTCGAAATCACGAACTTCACGTCTGATTGCAATCCGCACCAACATGCTCCTCCGCAGTGGGTGCAGGCGGGGCGGAACTGGCCATCTCCGCCGTGGTCGCGGCGAGGTCTCGGAACAGCTCGCCCACGTTGATCTCTGGCTGCGTCGGCACCCCCCCCGAGCTCGGGAAACCGACCATCTTGCGGCAGAGTTCCTCCGTTGTACATTCTCTCGGGAAAGCACCAAATCGTCCAGCAGGGAAATATCCACCGCGACCGTGAGCTGCGACAGCGGCCGCCGCCGACTCCTGCGCTGCACGCGCAACCGCCTGCGCCGCCTTGGCCTCACGGATCCTCTTGACCTCCAGCTGCAACCACCACTCCTCGATGCCGCAGCCGTCGGGTTCCAGTTTCTCCTTTCCCTTCTCGCACGCCCTGATCCCAGCGTTGTAGTTGTTCACGTTGGGCTCTATCTTCGCCTTTCCAGCGTTCTCGCAATATGTGTTCTCAGATCCAGCCGTGGCGACGAGGAGCGGCGGGGAACGTTTAGCGATGTTGGGCTCCAGCTTCGTCTCCGCTGCAGGAGCAGCCTCTGTTCGCCCTTCTCGCACGCACACCTCTCGCCGTTTCCCACGTGCCCTGATCTCTGCGTTGTACCTGGTCACGTTGGGCTCTGTCTTCGCCTCTCTAGCTATCCCGCAAATTGTTTTCACATATCCAGCCGTGGCGACGAGGAACGACGGGGAATGTCTAGCGATGGTGGGTTCCAGCTTCGCCTCCACTACAGGAGCAGCCTCTGCTCGCCCCTCTCGCACGCACGCCTCTCGCCGTCTCACGCATGCCCCGATATCTGAGCTGAAGCTGGTCACGTTGGGTCCTATCTTCGCCTCGCCAGCTTTCTCGCAAACTGCGTTCGCAGATCCAGCCGTGGCGACGAGGCGCGACGGGGAATGTCTAGCGACGGTGGGCCCCAGCTTCGCCTCATCTCCAGCTGCAGCCGCTGCTCGCCCTTCTCGCACGCACGCCACGCGCCCTTTCTCGCGCATCGCGGCATCCCGCTGCTCGCTCACACTGCTCTCGGGGTCGTGATTGAGGGTGTCTGGCTCCTGCTTCGCCTCACCCTTCTCGCACGCCATGGCTCCAGCGCTGCAGCTGAACATGTCGGGCTGCCACTGCTCTACCGCATAGGCCGCCGACCACTGGAGACCCCACCATGGCTGCCATGCCGGATGGAGCTGGGCCTCCCAGTCCAGAGCCGCCTGGCGACAGGTGGCTAGGCGTAGCCTGCGTTCAGCGCGTCATCTGGTGCGGCTGGCCGTAGTCGCTGGGGGCCGCTCTCCACTGAGGGGCCCACACCACGGCGCGGCCGGCCACATCATCGTCACGCGTCGACGCAGGGAGTCGCGCCTTCTGCGCTGGGGGCCCCCATTGTTGCGGGCCCGTCCGCGGCCGTGGGCGAAACAGCTGCGCGGGGCCCCGCTCGGGAGCCGCCTGGAGGAGGGAGGAGGGAGGAGGAGGAGGGAGGAGGAGGAGGAGGAGGAGGAGGAGGAGGGGGAGAGGAGAAGGAGGAGGAGGAGGAGGAGGAGGGACGGCGCAGGGCGGGGACTCCATGAACGTGGTCGGGCCCACCATGGCGGGGACGAGCGGCAGCACCTGCCGGAGAGGCGCGCGCAAGCGGGGCGCGCCTCGTCGTCGCCGTCGTCGTCGTCGTCGTCGCCGTCGCCGTCGCCGTCGTCGCCGTCGCCGTCGCCGTCGCCGCCGCCGCCGCCGTCGTCGTCGTCGTCGTCGTCGTCGTCGTCGTCGCCGTCGTCGTCGTCGTCGCCGCCGTCGTCGTCGCCGTCGTCGTCGTCGTCGTCGTCGTCGTCGTCGTCGTCTCAGTGGTCGTCGTCGTGGTCGTCGCCGTGGTCGTCGTCGTCGTCCTCGGGGGGGGCAGGAGGGGAGGAGGGGAGGAGCGGGGAGGGAGGGGGGGGGAATCTTTATTGGGGCGTGGGCGGACGTCGAGCATCAGCTCCCATGGTAACGGACGCCCATCGAGCGACGAAAGGCCCGAAGCGGGCCTTCGCACTTGTCGGCCCTCTGGCGGCCGCAGAGGGGCGCGCGCCGACGCGAGGGCCTCCCGCAGACCAGGCTCGCTTCAGCGGGCATGGCTTGCGGTGGGGGGAGGAGGACGGCAAGGAGGATGAGGCGGGAGGAGGGGAAGGATGGCAAGGAGGATGAGGATGAGGAGGGAGGAGGATGAGGATGGCGAGGAGGTTGAGGATGGCAAGAAGGAGGAGAAGGGAGAGGGATGAGGAGGGAGGATGGCAAGGAGGAGGAGGATGGCAAGGATAATGGGGAGGGAGGAGGAGGATCGGGGCGCGACGCTCGATAGCCAGCATGGGACGCTCTCTGATGTCGAACATGTCTACTGGGTATGCTCTTTGGGTGGAGGGTCCAGGGTGAAATACCAATGGGCTTTCGCACCTCGAAAATCAGTCCGCTTTGTGATTCGCCTTTTGCAGATCCAAGCCTTGACAATCTATCGAAACGGCCTTTCAGATTTCACCCTTTGCCCTCCACCCAAAAAAATGCTCGGGTCTCTACCACCGGACGCGTACGAAAAGAAAGTAACAAAACCAATGTTTTGATTTCCGGGTCGGGAGCGCACCCCTTCCGGTCGAAGCTAAGCGGGCCGCGCGAAGCTTGAATTAACCAGAGATCAAAAAAAACAAAAACAAACATAGGCATACCAACAATGATGCTTCGGAGGTCCGCGCGGACTTCTTGGATTGGAGCTGAAACCCCCTTCCTGGCGGAAGAACGGGGGCCCTGGCGCCGACCCCAGAAGTCCGCACGGAGCTCAAGAGAAATTATGCTCGTGCAGTATGTTGTCCTTCGTGTGCGTAGATGCGCGTGTCTACATTTAGGAAACCCAGGGTTCGCTAGAAACTGGTTTCCACCTCGCAAAGCTGCGAAAGCCCATCCAACACCATCCCGAAACCCGAAAGTCGCCTCCCGGAACCCCTCCCGGAAGATTCTCGGAGGGCTTCGGCTGTTTGAAAGGAAACCCGTCTCAGGTCGGGCATGTCCCCCCAGGGGGCTCGGGGGCGGCCAAGAGGGGGGCGTCCAAGAGGGCGGAGCGCAAATCATGGCCAGCGACATGTGCGCGGCCCAGGGGGGGGCCTGCAGAGATGTAGTGAAATAAGAGGCAGCATGAAACCTGGGGAGACATCATGCCCCCCGCCATGATATCCCCCCCTAGTCCCTAGTCATCACCCCCCTCGTCTGCGATGCATCGGCGACGCCGACGTGAAGCAAATCGGGCTGCATATCGAGCAGCGTCGGCGATGCATCGGCGATGCAGCGCGATCCTCCGACCCCATCTACTCCGACCCTATCTACTCATCGGAGTACCACTATACCACCTGCTGGGAGGTGGCCGCCTCCTGCCCTCGAGCTGGTGGCACCTCCTTCCGGGCACTCCCTGGAGGCATGCACGGAACGAGGTGCCACCAGCTCGGGAGGGGGACAGCCATCCCTCCAGCTGGTGGTAGTGGCACTTTCCCAGAGATCCGATGCCGTGATTGTTGCGGGGCCCCCGGAAGTCTCGAACCATTCCCTGGGACCAGCTTTTCGTTCCGAATCGTTTGTTGGCTGTCCCGGGGCCCCGGCGAGGAAGCGAGAGGCCAAAAACTTAGAAAAACTGTCGTCTTGATTTTTTCAATGCGTTGGATCTCTTGGCTTTTTGAGGAGCCAAACTGAATACACCGACGCTTTTTCCGGCCCCGCACTGACATCGCATAAGAACGCGGATTCTGGTGTAAACGACATCCTGGTGTATACATTTTGCGCTGTTTCCCGGGAAAGCGGGGAAACGGGTATACACCACACCACCCCGACGTCGTCCCCGACCCTCCAAAAATCCTGGGATTGAAAAACAGCCCGCCACTGGTAATGTATACGTTCCAATTTCCGACTTTTTTCAATACGGGGTCCCCGGAAGTCCCGCCGGGCCAGTTTTTCATCCTGAATATTTTTTTGACGGCCCCGGGGCCCGGCGAGGGCCCCCAGAAGCACAAAAACGCGAACAAAGCGCGGAAAACCTCCGCCTCGACTTTTGCAATGCGTCGGATCTCTTGGCTTCTGTCTCCAGTGCACGCGAGGGGATCTGCGCGGAGGGGCTTGCGTTAAGTCGGGCGTGTCCCCCCTACAAGGGGATTTTCGACAAATAATAAAAACATACCCCAAAAAATGCTCCACCATGTTTTTTCTATTAAAAAACATGTTTTGATTATTGTGGGGTACTGTTGATTATTGTGGATTATCTTTTTTCTGATTGTATACAAATAAAAAAATTGTCCCCATACTATTTTTTGACTATTTTTGAATATCCCTCCTGTAGAGAGGGACAAGCCCGACTTACGGCTTGCGGCGGGGGGCCTGCGGCCGGGGCCGACCGGCCACGGCCGACGGGCGGAGGCCGGCCAGGCGGAGTGGCGCACGCGTTCGCCGCACGACCGAGCTCGGGCAGGAGCGATCGCCCGTGCAAGGGGCGGCCACCGCGGGGAGGCCCAGACCCCATCTTTATGCGCCCTTCTTCAGGCCGCATCGATCTGTGAGGTTCCTGGGCCCCGAAAGTTGACGACAACGCCCGGCTCTCAAACATCCCAGAGATCCAACGCACTAAACAATCAAGACGGAGGCTGTTCGCAATGTTTGGCTCCTGGGGGCCCTCGCCGGGCCCCCCGGGACCGTCAAACAACGACTCGGGATGAAAAGCAGGTCCTGGGGAATGGGTCGAGACTTCCGGGGTCCCCGCATGGAAGAATCACGACGCCGGATCTCTGGGATCCAGACCCAGAGATCCGACGTCGTGACTTTTTCCAATATCGGCGGTGGACAAACCTCCCTTCAGTAGACCTCCCCTTCGTGAAAACGGCCTGGGACCGAAACCGACGGACCTGGACCCGCAACAATTGTTGCCGCGACGCCCTCTCGCGAACCGAAAACAGCCAATTCCTTAATCGAGGAGATCTATCCACCTCCGACAATACGGGGTCCCCACAGAAGTCCCGACCCATTCCCCGGGGCCGGTCTTTAATCCTGAGAGTCGTTTTGGACGGTCCCATGGGGCCCGGCGAGGGCCCCCAGAGGCCCAAAATCCCACCAGCCCTTTGGGCGTGAGTGGTTTAGGGAGCCCTCTCTGTCCTCACCCCCCCTTCTTCCCCTTCGGGGAGGGGTTTACCCCTCCCCCTACCCCCTCCCCCTGGACCTGGACAGGGATTCCGGGGCGTCGCCGGGGGGGTCTTTTTTTGACTCCTGGGAGGGCCAAAAAACGACGACCCTCACGAGGATTCTGGCCCCGGGGGGGGGGGGAAGTTTGGCGCCTCAGCTCGTCTTTGAAGCAGAAATCATTCATTTTACGATGGTTTTGGCCCCATTTTGGCCTTCTGAGGGGGCAGCGCTCATCTTCCCTCATAGCAAAATCATTGATTTTACGAAGGTTTTGGGCTCATTTTGTCCTTCTCAGGGGGCAGCTCTCCTTTGCGCTGCTGCGGAGGTCGCAAGAAGCCCCAAGATGACCCCAAGAGGCCCCCAGGAGGTTCCCAAGAGGCATCCAAGAGGCTCCCCAGAGGCCCCCAAGCGGCCCCAAGAGGCCCCCAAGAGGCCCCCTAGAGGCCC